GAGGCAGGGCTGGGGATATGGGGAAGGGGCAGAGTTGAGGCAGGGCTGGGGGGGGGGGAAGAAAAAAACAGGGGGGGGGGGCAGCCAAAATTGTTTTTGCTTGGGGCGGCAAAAATCCTAGAGCCGGCCCTGATGATAGGGAGAGGCAGGGGAGGTAGCTGGAGATTATGCAAAGCAAGTAATCTTATCCAAATTCCACAAATGGAGATGGAGAAGTGGCAAGGACCTTGCAGAGCTCCTAAACTATTCCTGTACCCATATTCTTAAGGGAATTCATTAACAGAGAGAAAATCATTACATTTAAAGTTAAAGACTAGTTAACATTAAAGTTGAAAATTTTGCATAACAAGGAACTTCTTAAGTGTGAAAATGAACAGCTAAAGGACAGGAGATAGATATGTGAGTATCCTCATTGGTCAGTCTCTAAATGTGCTTCTGTTCTGGAAAACAATTAAGCAAAAATAGTGTGTGTGGGGGGGGGAGGAAGTCTGTGATTTCCATGTTAAATGTGTCAAGTTGGGTTATTTGTTTCTAGTACGTCATTATTAGTAACAAGTTCTGCAGGCCAAATGAGGCTGTGATGTGCCACACAAAGCAGTGCAGGTTGAGTGAATTAACCTGATAGGCTGCAACTGAAGGAGAGACAGAGCTTGAAAGGCTGATTGAAGGTTGAACCCAGCTGAGAAGGAACAGACAGGGCTGGAATAAAGCCAGGAAGTTAGCAGCAGAAAGCTGCTGCAGGGGAAGTGGTCTTCAGTCACTCCCTGGGAGAAGGGGATTTGGGTTGATAAACCTAGAGAGTGGGGAGGCTAGAGGGTGAGAGCAAAGAAATAGGAAGGAGGCCAGGGAAACAGCAGCAGGGTCTGGGTGCAAGCAGCAGGGCCGGCTCCAGGGTTTTTGCTGCCCCAAGCGGACAAAAAAAAATAAAAATAAAAAAATAAAAAAAAGCTGTGATCATGATCGACGGCAGCTCCACCGCGCTGCTTTCTTCTTTGGCGGCAATTCGGCGGCAGGTCCTTCCCTCCGAGAAGGACCGAGGGACCTGCCGCTGAATTGCCACCAAAGAGCCTGATGTGCCGCCTCTTCCCCTTGGCCGGCCCAAGCACCTGCTTGCTGAGTTGGTGCCTGGAGCCGGCCCTGGCAAGCAGACCATAGGTACTGGACATACAATGCCTGACCTGGCACCTGGAGTGTAATAGGTGGGCCCAGGTTCCCCTACCAGCCACTGGGATAGTAGCATAAACTGAGCAGTGGAGCCAAAGACTGCCTGGGACAGATGCCCAAAGGGACTCTGATACCCTGGAATGGGAGGGCTGTACAGTGACCTGGCTGGAGGACTAAGTCACGAAGAAGGAATACCCTGAGTTCCAGCGAGAGATCACGGGGTGAGGAAAGGTATGCCAGACCAGAGTGGAGCTAATTCCCAGAGCAGCCAGGAGGAGGCACCCTAGTGGTGAGTGGACTCCGTGAGAGAGGCCCTCAGTGCTATCTGTACAACTCCAGTGCTTCATTGGGTTTGCTCAGGCATAACTTATTGGAACTGTGTAAATTATTTCATTGCACAAGATGAAACAGAGCCCTACTCCCTGTTAGCTCTGCTGGTTTTGCAGAGCTAAAAGGAAAAAAAAATCAGTAAACGTGAGGGGTGGGAATGTAAAGTTAAGAGTGAATGCACACAAGGGGGTAGATCTGTTGAATAACAAAAAGTGCTCTTTTCATATAGCCCTTTTCAGAGAAAATAAGCACACTTAAAATAAACATCATATGCTATCAAATGTCTTAAAATAGAAGAGTATATTGAATTTAAACATGTGGCTGCATTTTATATTAACTAAACAATTAAATAAAGTGAACATACTGCACCTCTCGACAGCGTCTGGGGAGCTCTTTTTTCCTTTTTGATTGCCATCGCGAGGTTGGAAGAAACTGCGATTAGCAGGAGTGACAAAGCCAATGCTGAATGCATCATTATCTCTTTAAGAAATCCCCTTTCAATGCAGCCGTGAAACTGGAAAACAAAGCAATCTTTTTAGTTGGGTGGGTTCATTACAAGTTGCCATCTGGAAGATGATTTTAATAGCATTCTAATAATCTACACCACAAGGACTGTTTTGTTTGTTTTTGGAAACAGTGGACTTGCTTGATGACAATAGTCCAGAGTCCAGGTGGTCTACACTAGATACGTAAGCATCCTGCAAATTTGTCAGAAATATACCCGGAGAACAATATAGAGTTACTACTATAGTTTTGAACAGTGAAAAATTAATCAGTTTCACTTTTATTTCTAGTCAGTTTCTCATTCCAGTTGTTATACACTAGTCTAATCTTATAATTATTGAGTTGAAAACATGGCAGGACAATGCTTCTGAGTTGTGTTTTCCTTTCCCCAAACTGTATTGTTGGAATTGTTAATAATAATAAAAAAGAATGGCATGGGAACATTTCTATTGACAGTAGGTTTTGTGCTCCAACTCTAGTTGATAATATCCGCTCTAAAAAAGTTAGCTGAAATTATAAAAAGCTTGTCTTCTGGTAGACTCCAGTGTAACAAGAAACATCAGGAAGGGATTTCCCAGAAAACAAACAAATATTTTTGCAATTTAAAATTACAAAGTGAAAAACACATTTATAATTATATTTTTTTAAAATGGCTTTTAATAATGAAAGAACATCAGTGCTTCCACTGAGAAAAGTATTTGAAAGTTTGAGTGTCAGTCTGATCTTTGTCCAAAATATCTGAATATCTTAACTCAGAAAACTTCATGGAAATTACAGTATTCTAGGGGTACTTGTTTTTATTCATGACAAAACTCGCATGAGAATAGTCACTCTCGAAACTTCATGATTTCTGCTTCTGATTAGAAGTAAAAAGGGCAAAATCTGTGCAAACAGGATTTTTAGTGTTTTAAATCAAACACTTTTGAACCTAGTTAGAATTTCTGCTTTTAAAAAAAATGGTGCTTTTCCCCCCCCCTCTGGCTGGTCCAATCATTGCTAGGTATTGTATCTCCAAAGCCCCATGTGTTGTTTGAATGTCATTGGCAAAGTATGCAGTGTTGGTGGAACTGCATGCTGCAGAAGAGAACACTGAATCTCTGTATTGGCTCACTATCACTTGTGATGCTAATTTTGATGGCAGCGCTTTATGCATAATACAATCTGTTGAGAATAATAATAAACTAAAATGTTCCTGTTCCTGCTATAAATCCAGTTCCTGCTATAAATAAATCAGAGGGCTAACTCCTCCCCACCCTGGTGTTTAATTAAGTTAAACACCAATGTTGACACAAGAATTAATGGATATAAACTGGTCATCAATAAGCTTAGGCTTGAAATTACACAAAGGTTTCTAACCATCAGATGAGTGAAGTTCTGGAACCCAGCCTTCCAAGGGGCGCAGTGGGAGAAAAAAAACCTAACTGGTTTCAAGACTGAGCTTGATACGTTTATGGAAGGGATAGTATGATGAGACTGCTTACAATGGCATGTAGCCGATCTGCGACTGCTAGTACAAATATCTCCAAAGGTCGGGTATGGAACACAAGATGGGGAGGACTCCAAGTTACAACAGAGAATTCTTATATATATCTGGCTCTGGGTCCTGCCCACATGCTTGGGGTCTAACTGATCACCATATTTACGGATGGAAAGGAATTTTTCCCTGGGTCAGATTGGCAAAAACCCTGGGGAATTTTTGCCTTTCTCTACAGGATGGGGCATGGGTCACTTGCAGGTTTAAACTAGTGTAAATGGTGAATTCTCTGTAACTTGAAGTCTTTAAATCATGATTTGAGGACTTCAGTAATTCAGCCGGAGTTTTACAGGAATGATTCTGTGGCCTGCAATGTGTAGGAGGTCAGAGTAGATGATAGTCCCTTCTGGCCTTAAAGTCTATGAGAGAGGCCTCTGACTAAAAATACAAACCAAGCCAGGATGAAGCCTATTGTAATGGAGAATACCTTAACATTTGAACCCAGCAGCTACATTCATTGTGGAATTTCACCAGGACCAACTAAGACTGAATCCTATCAGTGTAATAATCACACCATCATCTCAGTATGGGCAGTCATGAAAAGTTTTGGGGCTTTTACACTGCCTATACGCAAGCCCGCCAATGTCACAAGTAGCACTGTTACTAACTCCAGTTCTGGCAGGTGCATTCCAGTACTGGTTCTCCTCCACCTGTCAGTCTCAACACAAAAAAACAGATTCTCTTCAAAGAGGCCACAATAGAATTTGCTGCTTAGAACAAAAACAACAAGAACAACAAAATCCTTGCAAGTGTTATCCTCTCCTAAGGATTCCATAACTATTAAGAGACTCCGCTAGGCTTCTAAACAATCAGTAAAGTCACCATAACATTTTCCCTCCCAACCCTGGTCCCTAGTGGTTCACTTTGTTTCTTCTGGGGTTTTAAGAATCCTACAATTTTTTCTTTGTTTTACATACCCGACCCTCAGTGTTGCGTGTAGCAGATACCCTCCCTCCATTCAGTAATGGATGAGATCCCCTTTGGAGCTCTTTAGCTTGCTGAAGGGCTTGAAGTTCAGTGCTGAGAAATGGGAGGTCTCCCACTGCTTCATAAAGAGGGACTAAGACTACTGCTTTAACCCTGGGACTGAAAAATTATTGGGAACAGAAAATCAATCCCAAATTCTCTTCGGGTCTCTGCTGATCATTACCCATGGCCATTAAAATGATAGGTCTGTAATCTACAGCATAAACTCAACAAAAATATTCCTTGTAGCCATTGCATGTGGGGGTTAATAATCCTTAGCATTAGATAGGCTTTAGTATTAATCTTTGATCGGTCTGTCACTTATATTTTGTTCTATATTTTCAGTGCTGTGAAAACATTAATAGTTATGGCTTGGTGAAACAGTCTCAGGTTTCTGATGATAGAACAGCTATGAAATGTGCAAATCAGTAATTTCCTTCAAGATAAATAAGATGCTTCTTACAGTCAAGAAATCTCAGGAAATAAACACAGTTTTTTTAGCTCAGGGCCAACAGAAATATTTTTCTCACACTTAAATAACTTTTTCCCCCCCAGAAAATCATCATAAAGAAAGCCCAGGATGGCTTCTATGACAGATAATTGCCACCACTGTTGATGGATGAAGCTTAAAAATCCATTTTTGATATTATAAGACCCAATGCCAGTGTGCTGGTTTAAACGGTGAATTCATTATAGGACACACCCTTGAAATCCGTCCCACTGCTCTGTTACATATTCCCTGTAGAATAATTTTTTTTTTGCCAGTTAACCTTTTTTATTCTTCTTCCCCATCAGCACGCACATTATAGGTAGATTATATACATCATAGATAACATAGATTCACTACCAAATAAATACATATTAATGCTGAAAACTGTTTGCTCACCTTAGCTGATCAGTTCTGCTGATAAAAGTTCTTCTTTCTGGAAGTGGCTAGTTTAAAAATGGGTGTGATTTATACACACAAGAATATCTGACCTGCACAGTTCTATGAGCACAGCAACAAGAGTGTATTCGCCTGCAAAAACAACAGGAACCAGTTAGTCAGAAACCAAGAATTTTTTTTCTTCCCACACCCCTTTTACCCTCCCCTTTAACTTTTTACTCTTGTGAATTCTCATGCCTGTACACTAAATACTCCGATTTCTCTCCATCTTGGCTTGTATCAGGTGTCGTCATATTGGGACGCAAAATAAATAGTGACTTGTGTGTGTCTGTGACTTTTTTCCCCCAAATAGTTTGGATCTGGCCTCAGTCCAGTGAAAAAAGAAACCATCAGTGAAAGATGAAACTGTATGTGCTATTATTCCCAATGAATGGCTGGGTTCACTGGTGCTGGCAGATTAGATATGAAGTTAATAGGAAGACACAAGAGTTACTTTGTATGGAGGAATGTAATTAACAAATGAAGGAAACTTGTTTCTTTAAATTTAGGAGGAAAACAGAATGCTACTTAAAAATCATGAATCTAAGGATTATATTGTTTCTTTAAGTTAAAGTTTAAAGATAGGAGGGATTTTAGACATGATGCCTAATATAATTCTGACCCAGCTTGACAAACATAGACGCGCTTCATGCCCTTGAATACAAAAGGAATTACCTAGGTTATCTTTGTCTGCTCTGGTGCACCTTTTGCATAGAAATCGAGATACATCAGAAGCAATCTCTCTAATATAACTGGATTCTTTCTCTGACATTTTATATTAATGAGTAGTATTGTAGTAACTGGTGTAAGATCATGTGTCTTAAACCAAAATGATTTCCTCCAGTTCTCTCTCAACTGAATTTTGGCTCCAGCTTTTAGCTCTGCTACTTTGGCCCATCCCTGGTTATAGCTCATTGATGGCTGAAATTATCACATGCGGACTTCCATATATGATTAAAAAAAAGCTCTGGAAAAATTACAGCTTTGTTTTATAGAATTTCCTTTTGGAAAGTTTGCTTTCTAGTTGGTATCGCCACACATGCATTTTCTCCTTATTTGCAGTTTCAGTGAAACAACTATTTTTTCACTAAGCTATGAAAATGTGACTTCTTATTGTGTATACAAAAGCCATCTTTAATATTTGTAATTGAGTGCACAGAAGTTTGTATTTCAAGTATTTTTGCATTTAATTACACAATATTTTCACTACCTTAAGGATCAAATACAAAGAGAATGTGGACTGGTTAGAAAATAGGAAGCAAACCTTTGTTTTAAAACAAATAGTTTTATTTTATGTGTTCATTTAGATTTTGGTCTAAAGAACCTTCACAGCAAAGGGCATCCATCCATCCAAAGCGCTGAGCTACCTTGACTTACACTTTAAAAGTGTAATCACCCAGGAATGCCAAACATAAAATCATACAAAGCCTCAATATGTCTTACTCTCCATGTTACTACAAATTGCTTAGTAATTAAAGAATTGTTTGAAGAAAAATAGGACTGAAAAATGTTGTACGTTCATTTAAGGATGTTGATGGATAGATTTGACAGGATTGTTCCTCACCTCCTGGAGGTACTCTACTGTTGTTGGGATTCAAGGCATAGTAGTTCAGTCAGATGGGATTATAACTGGAGATGGGCTAAATGCAAAGCTGCTTAAATTACACTGGTCTACAATTTTTGAGAAGTCGTCTGCTTCAGAGATAAAATGTGCTATTTATTATGTATTTTGATGTGCTGAATTCAAATATGACAATTAAAACAACTGATTGGCTACTGTTTCTAAGATATTTAAGTTTTTACATTTTATGTCTATGTATATTGTGTAGATAGTAGAGTTTTAATCATAAATTGTAAACCTAGGTCTTTTCATGTGTTTATGGTTGCTTTACATGA